TAAAAATTATAATTGACTGTATAAATAAATGATCGTCGCCAATCATATTTATTCTAATTTTAGCCAATCAAAACGAATTTCTTCAATGCTGCTTTCAGTTGCTTGATTTTATATACCCAATTCTCGCCTACAATGATTAATATCCGATTCTTGTATACCCAACCCTTTTAAGAAGTAATTACATTCTTATCCGAATTATATGTAAACTATTTAAGCTTTCTAATTCTTTGTGTTTCTGTAAAGATATTATCGAATATTGATTGTGTTTTTGCAAAGATACTATTGAATATTGGATGTCTTTCAGTATTCATTGGTCCATAATACTATTGGGAATAAGCCTTAACATATCCACCAATTTGATTTTTAGGGTCTTTTTTTGATAAATGATTACACGAACTTTTGCCACTAAGTGACGTAAAGAATGACAAACGAAACATTCAATAAAAAGTTTTTTTATCCTCTGTATGAGATAAATAAGCAATAAATACTAAAATACAGCCACACTAAGTTGTAAAAGAAAGCACTATCACTAGTTGTTGAAGCATTCAGATATTTTTGGATAGTGAACGATCAGTTGTAGAATGGTTATGTGTGAATTCGGAAGCAATTTTTGAGGCAAATGGCCTTTTTAACTTACTTTTAGCTAATAATTAAACATGTAGATATTGCAATATTCTATATATTTAATTATGGATTCAAAATAAGTTTAATAGACCATTTGTATAAAAACTTACTTAATAATAAATTTTAATGACAAATAATTCTCAATTATGATTGGCTAATTTTAGAATCAAACTAAATCGGCCAATATGAAGGGTTATCTTAGTAAAAAAAAAGTTTTCTATATACAAGTTACTCTCAATATAAGAAAGGTGATTAGGTCTATAGTAAAAATTTTACAAATCTTTCTTATATTAAAAGTTTATTAATAACTTTTTTATATCAAGTAGATTTATTATAGACTGGTTTTGGCTTGACTTGCTTATATTGAGAGTTTAATTAGTCTTTCTTATATTGAAGGTTTCTTATATTAAGTAACTTATACTAATATTAAAATTTCTAGTTTTTTTATATAAACTTTTTTTTACTTAGATAACCTTTTCTAACCTTTTAAACAAATTTGTTCAGCATATAATTATATATATTTTATATCTTGTCAATTTTGTTTTTTCACACTTTTTACTAAATAAAAGATTAGATCAAAAATTATACAAAAAATTTTTTTAAAAAAATTTTTTAAAAAAATTTTTTATATAATTTTTGATCTAATCTTTTACTTAGTAAAGGATAAAAAACAAAATTAATAAGATATAAAGTATATAGAATTATATACTGAACAAATTTGCTTAAGAGGCCAGAAAAGGTTATCTAAGTAGAAAAAAAATTTTACATAAAAAAACTAAAAATTTTAATATTAGTACATAGAAAACTTGTTTTTTTATTAAGATAATCCTTTTGTATACCTAGACTGAAGTTGTTTAGAATATAATTTTATATATAATTATTACTTTAAAACTGTTAATTTTTTTTTAACAGAGTTATATTTTTAAATTGTATCAAAATTGCAAAATTTTTATTCGGCTTAAACCATATTTTTTTTCTTCTTTTCTTGATATATTTTATTCATAAAATTTAATTTAAAGTTAATATGTAAACGAAGAAAAATCATCGCAACAAAGTTTATATATAATTCTATATATTTTTTCTATAGTTTTTATATATACAAAAATTTACACTGTGATATATCATGTGACTGTTATACATAGGTGTACACGCTGGGGTGTTTGATTGACTAATTGTAACAAAGATCAGTATAGACCCCTAATTAAATCAATTAGTACAGATTTTTAATATGATCATATTGTTACACAGGCAAATATCATTTTTTAATAGTAATTTACTATACGAAAGTGATGAATTTTTAAAATCTATCACCTTTCTCAATATTAAATATTTGAACTTAAAAAAATTATAAAATAGGCCAAAAAAGTGTGCTCTTCAATCTGTCATGAGGGTTTTTGTTAGTATTCACGTTTTAATTTTTTTTCTTAGTATTTTGTGGATATTTATATAATTGAAAAGTATTAATTTGTAAATAGCTCACGTTATACCTTAAATATTAAAATTTTGGCACAAGCATTTAAAGTACTGGTTATGATGCATTGATTAATGCAATTATCTTTTTAATTAACTAAAATGCTAAAAACTAGATAGCAAAAATTGTAAGTGAACATGTGATATATTTAATAATGCTGATTGGATGAAATCTTATCAAGAATTACAAAGCGAATAAAATTAGATTGAATATCATTACGGTCTAGAAAAGACATGTAATTTCTCATCTCTGAATTTAATTTTAAGTCATAGATCTTAAGACAGCTTACCAAGAAAGATGAATATTCACTTAGAACACAGTAAGCGTGAAAAGTTGGCTTTGGTACTGTATTTTAGTTGTTTTTATCATGCGCACGATTACGTGCAATAGCCTTTATTCTATTAGAATGATTTTTGATAGGGTACACTTGAGTATATTTTTTTTACGATGCTCTTTATGCTCGTATTATCGATTAAAAGAAATATTTTTTATTTGTTAAGTGATTCTTTATATATGATTCATAACTAATAATAAAGCGTAAAGGAATTAATTACAAACTAATGAAGTAATAGATTAAAAAAATACATAAAATCAGCTGTTTTAATTTAAATACGTAGCAAATCATTACACTAAAGTGAGATAATGTCTTCTAAATATTATAGCAGAATTTATATAACTTTGTGTCTAATTGCCAATTTGTCCAATTCATGCAATTTTGTGTCCAATTAGTACAATCTATATCCCAATTGTCCAGCTTGCACAATTTTTTATATCCAATTAGCATAATCTATATTTTAATTGTTCAAACTCATGCAATTTTATATACTATGTCTAATCAAACAACCCTTATGTCCAATTGTTCAGGTCGCAAACTTTTGTTTAATTATTATTTAGGTTCAAACATGCTTTTGTAATAATCTTTATATCTCAATTTTTAGTTTACGCAACTCTTACGTCCAATTGATTCAATTGTTCAAGTCACAAATTTTTATTTCCAGTTATTATATTGTTTAAATATTGGCTTTTGTAATAGTTTTATAATTTATTGTATGCATCTTATAGATGACGGTCTATTATGATAAATTAAAGTGTTTGTAATTGTCTTTAAATTATTTATTTATTATAAAAAAAATATTTAAATATTAAGAAATAAAATGTATTCCCAAAAACTACATGTTAAAGTATTATATTAAACAATTCCAAGCCAAAAAACAATTTCTATATTCAATTGCAATGCCAAAAGTTTCTAAAAAATGTCTCCAAATGATTCAATTAACGGCTAATCGTGTAAGGGCCAAAAAAATTAGAAAAGCCACGGATGCTCTTCAGTGTCTTGATGAAGATTTTGATAGCGTTCTAGAGTTTATATACAGTATTAAAAAAAAAATAAGTTAGAAGCTTCCATAAAATCTAAA